AATGCTAGTGGTAGGGCTGCTGCGGCATTAATGGAGGAAAGCCGGGGTAATTGGTATATGAAGAAGAAGGCGACGACGTTCTTAATCCTAAGCTGCTAGGGTTCGTCCGTCTCTGTTCAATGAGAAAATAAGGGAGAGCTCTCTCTTCTGAAGGGGGGGCCTTGTTAGGGTGTAGGAAATTAGGTTTTATTTTTATTATAAAAGGGTTGTGGGTTAGGGAATGGGTAAATGGGCTGAAGGGAGGAGTGGGTTGTCAGAAATTGGGCTCAAGTTTGGGCCAAATTTGCCTTTAAAGGTAGCCCTTTAACTCTACAAAGCTAAAATATTAATTTCTTTTCCTAAAATATCATACCATAAAAAATGTAAAATCAATCCTAATTAATTAAAATATCTATATTATGACATGAAACTATTTTTGTATTTTCAAACATATGTTTTAAAATTAAAACTAAAAGTTGACTGAAATCCTATAAAAAATAAAAAATAAACAATTTTTTTTTTGAAATATTCCTTTTAAAAGTTACGCGGGTCAAAAATTACATGCTTACAAGGGGATGGATACTCATTCCCGCCCGACTATTGGAGATTTTACTCTCAAGGTGGCCCGACTATCGGAGAGATTACTCTTAATATAACCCGATTATCGAAGAGATTACTCTCAAGGTGACCCGACTATCGGAGAGATTACTCTCAAGGTGGCCCGACTATCGGAGAGACTACTCTCAAGGTGACCCGACTATTAGAGAGATTACGCTTAAGGTGGCCCGACTATCGGAGAGATTACTCTCAAGGTGGGAAGGGATGAATACTTATCCCCGTCCGAAAATCAGAGAGATTACTCTCAGGGTGTGAAAGGATGGATACTCATCACGGCCCAAATATCGGAGAAACTTATATGTCCACCTTAATATGGGAAAGTATAGTTTCTTTTAAGGACAAACCCACGAAGAGACCAACTTAAGGTGCAAAGGGACTTATATGCAAAGGGACTCAGTTACAACCAAGATATATAGGTGCCCACCAGAGGACTTTGGTAGTGGTCCAACAACATCTAATCCCTAAGCGTCAAACGACCAGGATGCAACAGTCGGGTGCAACACTTCGGGAGGCTGATGAATAAAAATTGTATGAAATTGGAAAGCCTTGCATCTTCGAGCGTAGTCCAAGCAATCTTTTACCATCGTTGGCCAATAATATCCCATCCTTTTTATATGAAACTGGAGCTTTGGTCCAGACTAATGTGATCCATATACCCAGCGTGCGCTTCTTGCAAAGCTTGGAGTGCTTCTTCTTCCCCTAAGCATTGCAAGAGTACCCCCTCGAATGATCTTTTGTATCAGGTAACTTTGTAGTAAAGGAAGCGTGGTGCACGACGGCGGATTTCAGTCCTTCTTCTAGGATTTTTGGATGTATCCCATAGCTCAAGTAATTGATAATGGGTTGTCACCATTCTTCCTTCTCAGTTTCAGAAATAGCGACAAGATGCTCGAGTTCATTTTATTCACTTTCACCCTCATTTGGCGGTGATACTACCCATTTTTGGCAGATAGTAACTTGCGCTTGATCTGGCAGGGTTAACGATGAAGCTAGGGCAGCTAAAGTAACAGCCCTCTTGTTTTCTTTCCTAGGCACATGTTGAATAATCACGTCACCGAGCCACCCCATTAACTTTTTAGCATAATTATGATATGGACGTAGTTCAGGTTTCTTGACCTCGTAACTACTTAAAAGCTGGTTGATCACTAACTGAGAGTCACCAAATACTTGCAATTGCAACCGCTTCATTTCGACAGCCATTTCAAGCCCAAGTATTATTGCTTGATACTCAGTAACGTTGTTAGAGCAGAGTTGTGTCAACGTAAAAGAGTAGGAAAAAACTTCACCTTGAGAAGTGACAAATACTACGCCAGCACCAACTCCTCCGCGATGTGTAGCACCATCGAAGTGTATCTTCCATGGAGGTTGAACTTCAATGATCATTGCGTCCTCATCAAGTAGTTCGATAGTTAGCTCCCAATCATCAGGTATAGGGTGATCTGCCAAGAAGTCTGCTAACGCTTGTCCTTTTATAGCCTTTTGAGAGATGTACACAATTTTAAATTATTGAAACTGGAAGTACCACCTTGCTACGATCATTAAGGACAGGTTTTGACATCACAAAGTTGATGGGATTTGCTCTAGAAATAAGACGGACGACATGAGCTTGAAATTAGTGCTTCAACTTTTGGATTGAGAAGGCTAGTGTCAAATATAACTTTCGATTGGCGAATAATTCAGCTCATTTGGTGTCATCATCCTGTTGAAGTAGTAAAAGGAGTTTTCTTTTCCTTCACTATTTTCTTGGGCCAACAACGCTCCAATAGAACTTTCTTGTGCTGAAATATATAGTATCAACGGCTTTTCGGGTATAGGGGTTGCCAAAACTAGAGGCTTCATCAAGTAAATTTTGATGCTTTCAAAGGCATTGCTACAAGCGTGATCCCACTTGAAAGGAACGTCTTTCTTCATGAGGAGACTGAATAGTTGGCACCTCCCAGCTAGGTTTGAGAAGAATCTCCTAAGGTATGCTAACTTTCCTTGCAGACTTTTCAATTCATGAATATCGAGGGGCTCAAGCATCTTCAAAATGGCATCCACTTTGGCTTGATCAATTTTGATCACTCGATGTCGGGCAATTAAATCAAGAAACTTTCCTTAAGCAACTCCAAAGGCGCATTTCAATGGATTCATCCTAAGTTGATGTGAGCACGTAATTTTTGCCCTGTAAAAAATACTCCAATAAAATCCACTAAAATAGATTTTTCTAATTGTTTTAATTTTCATAGAATTTTTAGGAATTTTTTGTTAATTATTTTTTGCATTTAGTTGCATATTTAATATCTTAAAATTATAAGAAAATACCAAAACAATGTCCAAATCTTCATTTCATAGCATTTTAGGTTTTTATTTACATTTTTAGGATTTAAATACGTCTATTAGTTGTATTATTAGATGAAAATCATAAAAATACCATGGGCATTTTATATTTTTAGCTTTTAGTCTTAAATTATTAATTTTCTTCCATTAGTTTCAAGTTAATTAATTATTTGAATATTAGAAATAGTAGGTAGATTAATTTTGCAAATTAGACATAAGATAGGATTTAATTTAGAATCTTTTTAAGAAAAAGCACAAAAGAAGGAATTAAGGAATATGTTGGTCTTATTTAAATTTGGGCCAAAGATAATTCTTGCGGCCCAAATCCCCTCCCTAGCCCAAATCCCTCTATCCCTATAAACAACCTAATCCCCCTTTCTTCACAGGAGAGAACAGAGCCCCCCCTCCTCCCCTCATTTTTTACCAAAAACCTAGCAGTCTTCCCCTCACCTTCTTAACCTCTCACTCATGCACACTTTTCCGTGACACACACACGCTGAAGCCTCTAGTAACAAGTGAGAATTACAAAGTTTAGAGCTAAAATTCAAAAGTTGCAAAGCTAATTTTCAGTTTCAAATCCTTGTCTTATCTCACATTTTCTGGGGATTTCAAAGCTTGACGGAGCTTTAGAGCTTGGTTCGAAGCTGAGAGTTTGATTTAAACTCAGATCACTGTTCAATTCCGCTGAATTTACTATTTCGGGAACTGCTGAGCTTCGGTCGAGTTTGCCTCTGGCTCTAGTTGGTTTATTCGAGTTTTCTTTGTTCAATCAGGTTAGTTTTAAACTCCTTTGTATTATACTTTTAGTAAATGATTAAACAAATGAGTTCCTGCTTAAATTTGAAGATCCGCTCGATTTCTGATTTTGTTAGTCTCATTTGTAATGAGAAGCCGTCAAGATTTTGCGTTGTTACTCCTGGCTTTTGAATGTATTGACTCTGATAATTTTCTTGTTTGCTTTACTGTTTGTTGTCCTTTTTGAATCTTCATTTATTTGTTATTTGGTATAGAATGCGAAATTTCTCTACAAGGTAAAAATGGAAACTTATTGTCCATAACTTTTACATTGGGAATTAGTTTGTTGTTATCATGTGCAATTATAATTATGTTTGTCTTGAACAACTGAGTCTGTTCTTGAGTTCTCGTTGGCTTCACTTTTTGCCTAATATGTATCTTTTCTTTAATGAAAATCAGAATGTGAGCATAATTAAATTAATGAGGTTATGACCATTTGTGATACTTCTTTAGTATTCAACATGTATTTTACCCAAAATCAATTTCATAATTTTGACCTTCACAATATTTTTAAATTAGTTTAGAATAACAATTAATGAACATCGTAGCTTGCTTTAGGCCCGATTAATAAATCATCGTGGCCATGGGTACGGTTTCCGTGGTATGGTCACGATACATAAATCCCAACTCAAGTGCGCGTTTCACGCGACTTGACCTCAACTTCAAATAAAAATAAAACAAACAAGTTGTAAGTCGCGGGTGCGTTTCACATGACGTGATTTGCAATATGTACAAAAACAACGAGTGTGCGACTTCGCGACTTGTTCAAATAAATTCCATAAATACTAAAAAGTAATTAAAATTTTTATTAAAAGCTAATAGAAAGTAAAAACGCACAATAGGTTCTTAAACGTATAATAAATCAGATAATTAGGCCAATTATTAATAGTTGAGCGACCGTGCTAAAACTACGGAACTCGGGAATGCCTAACACCTTCTCCCGGGTTAACAAAATTCCTTACCCGGTCTTCTGTGTTCGCAGACCAAAAATAGAGTTAATTTCCTCGATTTGGAATTTTAAAATAAACCGGTGACTTGGGACACTATAATAAATATCCCAAGTGGCGAATCTAAATTAAATAAATAATCCTATTTCGAATAATGTCACTTTATTTAGAAAAACTCTCTATCCCCTCGGAAAAAAGAAGGTGTGACAGCTCTGGCGACTCTGCTGGGGACTAAGAACCCAGAATCTCTGGTTCAGGGTTCAGAATTCGAGCTTAGAATAACTGTTATGCTTGGCTTTCTTGTGATTGTCTGATATTACTTGTTTGAGCCTAATGTGCTATATGGCGCTTTTTACCGCTTTAATATTGTTTGAACTGTATATAAAACTGTTACGAACCCCTTCTTCTCTCTGAGTCTTCTAAATCTTCTGGGAATCGCACGCTGGCGTGGCTTCTTTTCTGTTAATGTCATAGCCTAATTTAGAACTAGGATCGGATTAGTTACAAAGCCGGATAGTCTTTTGGTTCCCGGTACGTTGCTGCCCCCCTCCCCCCTCCCCCAGGCTCGAGTTGTCCGCTTGGGTAAGTCAGGTCTAGAACAACACACCCCAGGATTCAAACCTAGAATAACATAGCCTCGTGCCGGACCCCTAGTAGGAACGTTTTTTTTGCATCACGTGCATTTGACTTTGGGGAATCAACACAGGGGTTGGGTCCGTCTAGGACATGTGTACCCAAATTAAAGACCATGCTGATGCATTTTGACTTGCTACTTGTGCATTTCTTTGTTTCTGCTTGCATGTTGACTTGCTTCTAGAATAGGAAAAGAAAATCAAGAAAAAAAGGAGAGAGAAAATTGACTCGGTTCCTGAAAATCCCGGTATTTGAAAAAAAAAGAAGAAAAAAAAAGATACTGAAACTCAAATGAGCCCGAATTTTCAAAAAAATGACATTTTCCCCCGGTCCTGAAAAATTGACCGAACTATGCGGGTCTGATTTTCACCGGATCTGAGATACGTAGGCAAACTTCATCGGTTCCGGCCCACAATTTTCAAAAAATAAATTCAAAAATATTTTCCTTTACTTCCTTCTTTAGAAAGTCTTTCCTTTAGACCCCATTTTTTTAAAAAAATACAAAAATATTTTCATTATCCTTTCGAAAATTGAAAAGAAAATCAAGATTCAAAAATATTTTCTTTTTTTATTTAGAATTATTTCTTTCATAAATTTAAAATAAAGTCCAAAAATCCAAAAATATTTCCTTTCTTCTTTAGAAGTTTTTCTTTCGAAATTCCAGAAAACAAAAGAGAAAAAAAATCAAAATTCACAAAAACATATATATATTTTTTTCTACTTTAGAAGTCTTTCTTTTCAAAAATTCTCAAAAACAAAAGCCAAACAAATTGAAATCCAAAAATATTTTATTTCTTCTTTATAAATCTTTCTTTCGGAAATTAAAAATAAAAATTCAAAATCCAAAAAAAAGAGTGAGTTTATTTACTTTATTCATGATCTTCCCGAACTATGCAAGATCTGATTCATGTTCCCACATGATACGTAGGCAACCCACATCAGGTTTGATCGACTATTTTTAAAAAATTCAAAATCCAAAAAAACAAAATTGATAATAATAGATTGAGCCCATTCTAACGTGTTCTTTGTTTTGAATGGTGAAGAAAGTTTGAGGTGGTCGGTTTGTGGTAAGCTGACAACACAAGATCCAAGGAAAAATGACAACTGGCATCGAAGCTGTTAAGAGTGCTCAAAAAGCTCAGAGTCAGAGGGTTCAACAAAAGTCTATTGTGGTTCAAGAAAATAGAGTACTGAAGCAGCAAATGATTGAAATGTGTCAAGCATGGGCCAATGGCCAAGGACCGCCTTTTTCTATCCATGGTTTCCTAGAGTTCACATCCATCTCGACTACTGCCATTCCGGTCTTATTGTCTGATCAATCCTATTCACGTGGAATCAGTCTTTATCCCAACTGTACGACTACAACTGGAACTTCTATTGCGCACTCCCAAAGTGTGCCATTGACAACCAATCAGACAACCACTATTGTTATGCCCGTCTTCACCATCCCACAGCCGACACTGGTACAGAAGAAAACTCATGAGTCACAATTTGCTACCCAGCAAAAACAATACCACTCGTACCTATTTGATCTTCCTGCAAAGATTGAGAAGCCTGCCCAAAAGATGGCACAGGAAGAAATGACCCAAAGAATGAAAAGCTTAGAATAACAGTTGAAAAACATGCAAGGGTTGGCATGTCAGAAGAGTATTGCTTTCAAGGATCTATGTATGTTCCCCGATATTTGTTTGCCCCTTGGTGTCAAGACCCCTAAATTTGAAAAGTATGATGGACATGGAGACCCTATAGCCCACCTGAAAAGGTATTGCAATCAACTAAGAGGTACGGGAGGAAAGGAAGAATTGCTGATGTCTTATTTTGGGGAAAGCCTTATGGGATTAGCCTCCGAATGGTTTATGGATCAAGACACCTCTCACTGGCATGTCTGGGATGACATGGCCCGGGCCTTTGTCAAACAATTCCAATACAACATCGACATCGCCCCAGATCTTAATTCCCTTTCAAACCTGAAGAAGAAACCAACTGAAAGTTTTAGGGAATATGCCATTAAATGGAGAGGGAAAGCGGCTAGAGTTAAGCCACCCATGGATGACCACGAGTTAATCACTATTCTCCTTCAGGATCAAGAGCCAGATTATTTTCAAAACATGATGTCCGCAGTTGGCAAATCCTTCTCAGAAGCAATTAAAATTGGGGAAATAGTTGAGAATGGCCTTAAGACAGGCAAAAATATAAGTCAAGCAGTTCTCAAAGCCGCAACTCAGGCTGTCCAAATTGAATCTGTTAATTTTAGTGACACGAATGAGAAGAATGAAGAAACCATGATGACATCAGGGTCGAGAAGAGGTCCTAGGAGAACATCTCGAAGGTATGACCAGTCTTGTCTGGTTTCCGATGATTCCCCTGAGCACTACTATCCACCTCAGAACCCACATAACTTTGTTGCTCCACCTCAGAGCCCACAATTTTCTGTTGCTCCACCTTAGTATGTTGTCCAGCCACCAAGACCCCCCAGAAGGTGAGCACCAGCACCACAAAATCTCCACCAGCCTATACAAAATTTTCAGGTTCCCCATAACCCACATCAAAGCCAGGGGTATAAAGGGGAACAGAGGTTGAAAGATAATTTTACACCAATAGGAGAGTCCTATGGAAGCTTGTTTGAGAAGTTAAAGCATTATGATATGATTTCACCTATTCCTCCAAATCATGTGGACCCACGTGCAAGAAGCTTTGACCTTTCTAAAAGGTGTGAATATCATTCCAATGCCCAGGGGCACAATGTTGAAAGCTGTCAGGATTCGAAAAGAGAAATTGAAAGGATGATCCAGGAAAAATTGATTTTGATCCAAGACAGTGACACCTAGAATATCGCGCAGAATCCTTTACCTGCACATAATGATGCACACTTTGTGGGAATAATACGTGGTGACATGGAACATGAGTATCCTCTCGGGAACTTGCTGATTGAAGTTAATGATATTGACATTGGAGAAGGCCGTGGTGTTTATGATGAGCAGTTTTGTGGCTAAATGTCAGGCTTCGCAATTGAAAAGTCATTCCCTCACTAGGAAGGAATCTTGGTAGCTTGTTTTGATATTTTTTCTATTATCTAGGTTATTTCAGGATTGTGATCCAGATTTTATTTGCTTTATTGAGTCAAACCCTTCTATCCCTCTATTCTATTTGTGTGAGTCTTGTTTGTCTGTTCTATTGCTATTTTTATTATCTGGTTTATTTTAGGGTTGTAACTCAGATTTTAGGTTGTTTGTCTTGTTGTTAAACCCTTTCCATCCTTTACTCAATGAAATACAATTTGTCCTTTTGTGTCATTCCATGCTTAGTTCTTTTGTCGCTAGTTCTAGTGACATGACATGCATGCGAAATTTTTGGCCAGATCTTAGAAAATTGATTTAAGCTTGAATTGGAAAACTGAGAAAAAGATACTTTTTAGGATGAAAAAGAGTTGAAATACCTTGGAATTAAGCCTGAGTAAAATTCAAGTGGAACTAGAATAGTCATACCCGTAGAGGTTAAGGATCTTTACCTTCAAAATCATTGCGAACATCAGATTTGAGAATGTTGAATCAATTGAAATTGGTGGAAAGTTTGACATCAATGGATGGGAAGTGTCTTTCGACCACGACACGCTAAGAAGACAGACATGCTCATCAATTGTGATCACGAAAGGATACTATGATTGGCAGTTTCGAGGCTGGGAGGCCCCTTTTCAGCTATCCAAACACTTTATACCCTTCGTTATCCCTTTTGAGCTTATGTTATTTTCTTTGACCACCCCCTATTGGAATCAAGTTTAGAGTTAAAAGTCAAAAAATTAAATAAAAAGGAAAAGAGGTCCATGCCCCAAGAGTACAAACTGGGGCAATTTTTAAAGTTCAAGTGAAAAACAACAAGAAGAAGAAGAAAATAACAGTCAAAGGTCCATGCCCCCAGAAAAATAAAAGCTGGGGCAACTTGCTGTGAAAACAAAAGAGAAAAAAAACAAAAAGAAAGATGAAAAAACAATAGTTAGGTCAGAAGTATGAACTACGTTTGACCTGATTCCTTTAAAAAAGGATATGTAGGCAACCTTACATGGCTCGGTCCAACCAAATAAGAATTCAGGAAAAGAATATCCAAAATATCCCCAATATCTGAAACTGGGACCAAGATTTTGTTTCACTTTTGAAAGAGTCGATTCCAAGAGTTGTAAGTCTACAACCCCTCATTTGGAGTTTACTTTGAGCCTTCATGCCGTCCTTTCTTTCCAACCCTATCCAAAAACCTTCCAAATAAAGACCTTCTGATATGCCTTCAAGAATGCCAAGAGACATATGCAATGAGCAACAGTTGTCACACGACATAGAACATTGTCAAGTTGCTCACAAAAGAAAGCCAAAACAAGGGAGAAAGAAAAAAAGAAAAGAAAAAATGAGAGAGTCTTACTAGTGAAAACCTTCACGGGCAATATAAGACGACAGTAAGTAGAGATAAAGAAATGAGAGAGACTTGTTAGTGAAAATCCCCCGGGGCACCACTAGTCGAAGGTGAGTCATGAATCTAGTGCAAATATTTGGCACAAAGATGCTCGGTTTGAAAGCTTGAAGGAATGACAAGAATAAAGGTTAGATTGATTTGAAAGATCGGGCCACTAAGTCCAAAATGCATGTCATGATCATTAATGCTAGCTGCCTTAAAAAAATCTTCCTTTCCTTCCCGACAAGGGCATTTCCTGTTAATATTGTTTATTCGCATCATTTATGTCCTTTTGCTTTGAGCCAGTCCTCATCAAAGTAAGCAAGAAAAGATTTCAAAATCTGCTACCACCTTTTCAGTTGCACAAAGTAAATTTGGCTAGCATACTCTGTTGTTACAGTCTACATGCTTTGAGGATTCATACAAGGGCTTCTCCCCCCAAAAGACTCTTGTCAGCCTACTTGGCTAAAGCAAGCAAAGATAACCTCAAGATTAATCAGGGATTCTCTGTAGTACTGAACAATGACTATGAAGTGTACACATCATGCAAAAGGCACTTACCAGTTGTGATTCTCTCTGACAGACAAATTGCTCCAAAAGCAAAAGCTATTCAAGATATCAAAAAAGGTTATCCAAGAAAAGAAATCTCTTTTTTGAGATAAGGTTGATTGAGCCACAAAACATAAATGGCACTGAGAGCGAAACAATCAAGGTTGATACAGAAAGTAAAGGTCTCTTGAAAGAAACAGCAGAGTCTCCCAGCAGTGCAACCAACTACCAATACAGTCGGTCTTCCAAAGTTGGATGATCACAAAGCCAAGTTGCCAAAGACATCAAGGCCACAAACTGACCACCACTATTAAAACTCACAAAAATTTTCTTTGTTTGAAACAAGACCAAAGCAGTGTAAGGAAAGTGTTTCCAAAAAAAAGAGAAAAAATGAAAAAAGAAAAGAGAGAAAAACAATTCAAGAAGAGCAGCCAAAGGGAAGTTTATCAAATCTTTGCCTTTATTTTTCTTGTTAGAATGCACAAAATCATGCCATTGATCTTTGCATTTTCCTCCTAGGGTAATAGATCCTAGTCTGATGGATTTTTCTCCCAATAGAAGTCTTAGTCTGATAAATCTTTCTCCTAAGACAAAAATTCCTAGTCTGATGAATCTTTTTCCTAGGGTAATAAATCTTAGTGTGATAAATATTTCTCCTAAGATAAAAAATAAAATGACCTAGTCTGATGAACTTTCTCCTAGGATCGAAGTCTTAGTCTGATGAATATTTCTCCTAAGATAAGAAAACCTAGTCTGATGAACTTTCTCCTAGGATCGAAGTCTTAGTCTGATGAATTTTTCTCCTAAGATAAGAAAGCCTAGTCTGATGAACTTTCTTCTAGGAAAGAAATCTTAGTCTGATGAATCTTTCTCCTAAGATAACAAAATAAAATCTAGTATGATGAATCTTTCTCCTAGGATAAACGACTTAGTCTGATGAATCTTTCTCCTAAGATAAAAATAAAAGACCTAGTCTGATGAATTTTCTTCTAGGATCGAAGTCTTAGTCTGATGAATATTTCTCCTAAGATAAGAAAACCTAGTCTGATGAAATTTCTCCTAGGATCGAAGTCTCAGTCTGATGAATGTTTCTCCTAAGATAAGAAAGCCTAGTCTGATGAAATTTCTCCTAGGAAAGAAATCTTAGTCTGATGAATCTTTCTCCTAAGATAATAAAATAAAACCTAGTTTGATGAATCTTTCTCCTAGGATAAACGTCTTAGTCTGATGAATCTTTCTCCTAAGATAACAAAAAAAAAAGACCTAGTCTGATGAACTTTCTTCTAGGATCGAAGTCTTAGTATGATGAAATTTTCTCCTAAGATAAGAAATCTAGTCTGATGAATTTTTCTCCTAGGATAGAAATCTTAATCTGATGAATCTTTTTCCTAAGATAAAAAAAAAATTAGTCTGATGAATCTTTCTCCTAAGATTAAAAAAAATTAAAAAATGTCTTAGTCTGATGAATCTTTCTCCTAAGATAAATAAAACCTAGTCTGATGAATTTTCTCCTAGGATAGAAATCTTAGTCTAATGAATCTTTCTCCTAAGATAAATAAAACCTAGTCTGATGAATTTTCTCCTAGGATAGAAATCTTAGTCTAATGAATCTTTCTCCTAATATAAAAAACCTAGTCTGATAAATTTTCTCCTAGGATAATTATTAAAAAGTATGGATTAAAAAAAGGGCCATTTGTTCATGCCCTCAAAAAATAAGCATTGGGGCAGTTTGTTTAAAAATAATTAATTTTCTCAAAAAAATGAAAATGATTTTTCAAATTAAAAAAACAAAAAAAAAAACAAAAATCCTTCTCGGTTCATTTTAGCATAGGGTACACAATTCCCTAGTCTCGTTTTCCAACATAGGGTCTCAACTCCCTAGTTGATTTTATTTTAGA